GCCATTCAAATTTATCTATTTTATAACCTTTTTTATTGACGCTTATCCTTTCTCTTTTCTGAGGGAAAAGATTAATATAAAAAATAATTTCATCTGCACCATTGCTTAATGAGAAACACATTACATCATCGAATAGGAATCAAGGGGAAAGCAGTCTCGTTGACCAAAAAAAAGCGGGGGGTATTGGGATTTTGCATAGGGGTTGTCAAGGGGAACGTAAGGATTATTCGGGGAGTCTGTATTGGGGAATGGTGATGGCGATGGTGGTGAAGAGGGATATGATAGTGAAGTGGGGACGGGGGATTTGAGTCCAGACGGGGCGTGTTGTCAAAGGGGATAATTGAGCGTTCTGTTAAAACACATCTCAGTGACGCATAAATTGTTCTCGAAGATTGATGATATTTGGGATGATGATGATAGTAAGAACGTGAATAATATAGTCCCGAGCGGACTATTGAAAAATTTACTCGCTAGCGCCAGCGGCAAAAAGCTTCTCGTTCTCCTGTTGGGCTTTCTCGAAGGCTTCTTTAAAGAGGTTCGCATCTGCAGCATAGGCGAGTAAGCAATTGTTTACAAAAGAGGGCAAGGGGAGCTAGGTAGGACTCACTTTCACTATTCGCAAAGCGGATGGCCAGAGTTTGTGCTTCAGGTTCGCCTTCGCTGACATCTGCAGCGGCATTCCATACCCAACTTCGGTCGCTACCGACATTGGGAGCCAGCTTCATATCGGGAACAACTAAAACGATTTCATATTAGCATCAACTCATTCCTACACTTAAAATTACGGAATCATATAATGCGAAAAGCGAAGAGCTTCCTTTCTCTTCGTCTTAAAAACCTTTCTAGGGGACGAGGAACATACTGTAATGATTCGCGCAAACCTTCAGCGTCTTATCTCTCCGCATAACCAGGCGGGTCTTCTGGTTTTCCTTGTGCTTAAGAAGTCTGACATCACCGGTCCCACGCTCTTTCCATTCCCGGGAACTACGGTCGAATTTAAAGAGCTTCGCACGCATCTTAAATGTCTGTTCTTCCAGTTCCTCATTCGTCTTGATTTCGACTTTTTCGGTAAGATGTACGACGGGCTCAAAGTGGACGTCCGCTTCTTCCTCCTCCTATATAATAAGATGCCAAGATAAGAGGCCTCACGTCAGTTTACAGTACTAATAATTTTGTATTCTCCGATAAAGGGGAAGGAGTTCTTCCAAGACGTATGTAAGTGAACCCCCCCCTCTCAAAAAAAAAAAAAAAAAAATCAAAATCAAAAAAAAAGAAATCTTAGGAAAAATTTTTTCCTTGAAACAAAACCAAAAAAACTAGACAGTAACTCACCGCTACCTCCCCATCCTTCTTCGCCTTCGAAGACCCAGAGGGCTCATCCTCATCCTCATCATCCTCCCGTTTCCTCTCCCTCTTCGGACCCCCACCAAACATCGAAAACACGCTATCAGATGTGGTGGTGGGGGGCTTGTTGTCCCCTCCCTCCGCGTCTTTCTTTACATCGTCATCAGCAGCAGCAGCAACTTCTTTTTCTGTATCTGGCTTGGGTCCTTCGGCAGGAGGAGCGTCGACTGACTTTTCTTCCTCAGGCGCCGCAGCAGCGTCGGTGGTGGTGGTGGTGGGGTCTTCAGGCTTTGCGTTGGTAATGTCGGTCATGGCTGCGGTTGTTGGTGGGGAGGCGTTAAGGGTAGGTTATATATGACCGGGCTCGTCGGGCTCGTCTTTTGTTGATCTTATTTTGGTTTGTAGGATGTTGTTGTTGTTAGGTTGGAGGTGGGGGGGGAGGGCAAGTGGTGAAAAGTTGTGATGTGGTGGTGGTTGTGGTTGTGGTAGTGTTGCAAAAGTCAAGGTACGAGTTCGGGTTTGGGTTTCCAGTGAGGGTGAGTTGGGTTAGGGCGATCACTTAGTTGGGGCGCCAGTCTTCTTTGGTTGTCTTTTTCCTTGTACTTTTCTTGCCTCTTCTTGTTTCCTTCTATTTATTCGATTTGATTTGGTTTCTTTTTTTTTTTTTTTTTTTTTTTTTTTTTCCCTTTTTGGCCCGTCTCCCCTTTCTCGCCTCCACCGTCTCTTTTCTCCTTTTCTTGGTGGAGGGGTAAATCGTGTGGCTTGCAACCTGAGAGGCCCGCAACCAGCCTGGAACCTGGCGTGGAGAGGGGTAAGTGGAACCTGCAAAGCTAGATTGAGATCGTAGGTGTATTTGGTGCCACAGCGGAAGCTGCCATGTCAAGCCTTCAACAGGAGAGATATCCAGGGCATTAGCAGTGCCCGGTGCAATTTTTGATAACTTGATGATAATAATTTACATTCACACACTATTTCACCTGTTCTGATTGAGAAATACTTTCCAGAAGATCCAGGATATGTACTCTTTCTTCTTTTTTAAGTTTTCACCATCGAATCACCTAACTACGGAGTAGCTGAAACTAAATCAGATATTGAGAATTAAGAAGGAATGGGCGAGATAGTTAGGCAGTGATTATGTACTCAGCACGTTCAAATCAATATGTGGACATTGAAAGGGGAAGTAAAAGCAAATAATTAAGTTGAGAACCCCCATTTTCGAACTCCATTTCCCCAGGAAAAAAAAAAAAAAAAAAAACAAACCAGCCAGTCCTTATTGAATGTACCGAAGTCGCTGAAAGTCCACCACTTACAAGATATGACAAAAAGAAAACGAGTAATGGGGGGGGGGGGGGGGAAGGAAGGAGAACCAGGGTGCAACACAACCGTGAAATGGAAAAAGCGGTTGGAAAAAAATGGAGCGGAAATTTATTTTAATCCCCAACGCTCGTGCTTCTGAAAACCATGTACTTTCCCGGGTTGGGCTTTCTTGCACCTCCCTCTCTCGCATCTGGACCACCGCATCGCCCTCCTTAGCTCATTATTAGGCCTAGTTCCTAACCGCTGCCATAGATGCGCCGCTTGCTTCTGCGCCGCCGCCATTCCCGGAGACCTCCTCACTCGTTGTGCGTTATCTGTGAGATGCCCGGGCAATGTTGAAGTCGTACGCAGATGCGGGATTCTGGAATAGTCTCCTCGCCTCCTTCTCTATTGCACACAAACCATCATTGGCCAATTGCACAACATCCGTGTTCACAGTCGACAGTTTCTCACGAAGTAAGGTTGTGGATGCCAGCATTCTATCCTGTGTGCGTCGTGCGATCTCGTCGGAAAACTGTTTCGACTTGGCCAGCATCGAGCTCGTGGCTTTCATTGCCCGCTGCAACGAGGCCCGACCTACCGATTCGGTTTCCACGCGTAGAATGTCGCTCACTTCTTGCAAATCTGCGGACATTCGGTTGTATGCGTCTGAAAGCCCTACAGAGGCCAGGTTGAGATCCCTTCTGAGCTTGGCAGAAAGTTTCTGGGCGGCCCTTTTCCAGTTAGCGATCTTAAGCCAGGGAGTTCCGAAGTCAATCTCCGTAACCTGTTCGATCATCGGTTTTGATTTCGTAATGATGGAAATGTTCAGAAGGCCATATGCGTCTTCTCTGGGGAGACGCAGCTTGTATACTCCGTCAAACATGCGCGTCTGGTCAAACGGAATATGAAGGGCGTCTCTGGTTACCCTTACATCGAACTTGAAAGATTTTCGGCGTGATGCGAGGCGAGCCGGAAGTTTTATAATGATGTGGCAGTCACCAATAACATGGACTTGGACTTTATCACGTCCATTACCAGGCTCCTCCGTGCCGCTGGTAATTTTCGAGATATAGGTATCTAAGTGGAGTGAATCTTCCAGCGCACAGTCGGAAGAGATCAGGTCTCGTGCGGAGAGAGGCATCAGCGATGTTGTTTTTGCGGTACTTGCCGTAGTTGTGATGGGAGGCAAATAAGCCGTTGTCGAGGCCGGTCCAGCGTGGGGAGGGGGCATAGATAGGGTGAGAGCTCGAGAGGAGAGGTTCATGATCAATAGAATAAAGGTATGCATGAGAGCAGAAATCACCGCGATCACCAAAAACCCAGAGGCTAGGATCCCAAAGGAGAAAAATGCGTTCCTAATTGTACCGATGTTGTACGGTGTGCCGAATAAAATGAGCTGATGAGAACCGTCCGACAATGGTTTGATATCTACCCAGAGTCTCCAGTCTCGAACTTGATTGGGATTTCCAGTCGTCTTATCTGGTGCCTTAGTCGCTTTGGGAATAGTTTTCGACGAACAAAGGCTCGAAAGGGATGCGATATGCCGATTTAGCTGTCCAGGGGCAATACTTTCGAAGGTTTTCAAATCAATTGGGAACCTGCCGAGTACTTGTGACTCACCCGTTCCCTTCCGCCGGGACTCCAGACAGATATGTAAATTTTGATCGTCCAGCGGAACAATTGGATTCTGCTTGGCCCACATAGGATTCTCGGAGATGACTATAGATGGCACCCCGTGGCGCTTCATGAAGGTATGACACAGAGAACGAATCTTGCGGCTTCCAAGATTGTCATCTTGGGCTATAAAGAAGATAGCCAAGTCTGGAAGAGTCCAAGGAGTAGAGGATTGTATTTCGTAGCCCGATCCAGTCCAAGCTGAACTGCAAAGGGTTTGATTATTTAGCGTAATGCTAATTTTGCTTTGTTTACTCTGTGCCGTTGCCGACAGGCATTCATCGACGACAAGTTGAACATGAATTGGCAGAAGTTCTGCATAGTTCGGACTAGCGCCGGTGCCAAAGGATGCTGGGACGACGTGAAAACGAGAAGCGTTCCCTGATTCGCCATTATCAAAGCCATCTTCGGAGCCTGCAACGAGAACATCCCCCAATTTATCAAGGACGATATGCTTGAAATCTGAGTCGCCGATGTAGAGAGCACGGAATGGCTTGGCAAGGTCAAGACCACGCTTAGCCACTGTCTGCTGGACAGTGACAGATAGATGGCCATCGCCCAGGTCGTGGGAACGGGTACGCAGGAATGCGGGGATCTCAGCTGCATTCAATACTTTGATGGTATGTTTCAGTTCGACTGTTTCCCTTTCAGACCAGTTGTCCGGCTCGACAAACTCGATAGGGTCTGAACCCAACTGATAGGGAGCTTTGATAGTGGTGTCGCTGTTCTCCAGACTTTGTTCTCTCATGTGGGGTGGGAATGGGGGGAGTGATGTCTCAGAGTAACAGCTTCGCACGTCCACACTATCCACCTCGCTATCGTCGTCATCCCTGCCTTCAAGACTGGTGATGTCGTCGGGAACGCCACGACCAACCAGAGAGGCGGTGTCTGTCTGATCTGAGCGGGAATCATCTTCGGAATAGATATCAGAGCCGCTGAGGGGTCGCCCAGCTCTCGCTGAGTGAGCTACCTGGGGCGCTCCAGCCTATGACTCTCTGACGTCATTGCTCCAGAGTCCGGGACTAGAAGTGGGGAGTTTTGGGAACCGAAAAAGAGGCGGAGGGTTATTATCCTGATGATGGCTGTGATTATGATGTTGGCAATGCTGGGACCTGCTGGAGCAAGCAGACTCGTCCGAGCCAGGCATTTCTTGCGTCGAGTGCCGATGGAAAGGATAGATGAGGTGGTGGATGGATGATGACAAGATGGGGTGGGGTCGGATTAACGCTTTGGCCGTGGAGACTTATATAATTAGGCAGGCGTTGGAGCCAGCTGGAACCTTTTGCAGTTAGGCTCGGCTGGGCCAGTTGGCGCCGCGGTTGACGTGGGCTAACTACCTTCTCGTCGGTACTCTGGGAGAATGTGTTTGGGGGGGTCCAGAAGGAGGTTTCGAAAGTTCGTTTGTAGTACGGAGTACATAATTTGCCAATGTCTGAATCCATGAACTGCTGCATGGAGCCTCCATAAACAGCGTAGCTACATTTGAAATAATATACAGTGGACTCCTTAAGAAAGTGTCTATAGAAATGCGACGTTCTACAAGCTTTCCCAGAGTGCAGCATACAAAGGTATAAACAACTTGCCAATCTGCCAAAGTAGCCCACCCGTTTCCCTTTTCCGATTCGTACTTATTCGCTCGTTTCTTCTCCATTTTCATTATCATTTTCATTCTCTTTATACTTATTCTCCGATTTTGTAGACCCCACCCCACCCCCCCTTTTTTTTTAAAAAAAAAATTTTTTTACAAAGCTTTTTCCGCTTGTACGGTTCACATATAATGACATAGGGGTCACAATGTCCAGTCTGTAAAGATATGATAGAGAGGAATGAGGTAAATTAATGTTGATATCAGGAGGAAGGAGTCGAAACCGGAAACCGGAAAATGCAAGACAAAATAATAAATACATACTTACTTACTAGTAGGTAATAACGAACAGAAGAAAGATAGAGGGTTTTTTTTTTTTTTTTTTTTTTTTTTTAATATCCCGTTTCCCGCCGCCGCCGTTTTTCTCCTCAAAAACTACGGCAGACTACAGTGACAATTGTCTCAATGATGTCTTAATTCACAAGGAATCTGAAATCGATTAACCAACACCTAAAAAGAAAAAGCGGCTGAAGATGAAGAAACTAAAGAAAAACATTATATATCAAAAGTACAATAGAAACGGAGGAAAGGAGGGAGAGTGTAAGCTATATAGTAACAGAGCAACAGTCTTATGTACAGTGTCAGAAGGTAAGAAGAATCAAGTATAGAAATGAAGCCTAGGAGGCGAAGGTAAGCGTGGACAGGAGTTGAGGGAAGAAAAGAAAGAAAACTGGATAAATTGAAAGTTCAGGAAAGCTAGAAAAATATAAAGGGGGGGGGTTAAAAAAAAGGATTAAAATAGATAACTTGGTGTATTCGTGTAGTTTTGTTTTGTTTTGGTGACGCGTATGAATGTATTTGTTGCTTATGCTTCTTTTCAAGGGTTAAAATAAGTAAGGTTCGCCCCATTCTCTACTCCGAATGCCTTGGTGGTCCCAAAATTGGCATGAAAATTTTTTCCACTGCAGCGAGTTTCTGTTTATTGCCCTTCTCTTTCTTTTCTTCGACGTAGAAGAGACACAGGAGCAGGAGCGGCCGGATAGTGTTTGTGGATCTTGTATTTTGAAGGCAGCACCAATCAACCTCCTGTTTTTAATCCGATAACATTCCACAGCAGTATCCTTCGTAAACCAAAAGGGGAAAAAGTGTCGACACTACTCGGTAGTGTTATAGAGAGTGATGGGTGACAAGTTCGAGCGCAAGGTAGCAGTAGTCGCCAGTGCGGTGATATATATAACAGGGCCCGGAGAGGTTAGCTTTCTTTCTATTTCATCTTTATGCCGTATCGTAATGGGTGGCCGACACGTCGTATACCTGGGAGCCGTTAGGAGGATGCTCCCGTCTCCGAAAGGAAACATCCTATGTGGAAAACGGACCAGATGCCAAGTTTGGAATGCCCGGCAGATATAATATAGAGATCTGGAATAGTTTTTGCGGAAGAATGCGATGACGCTGGGGCTGCTCGTGGAGGGAGAACGGGGAAAAAGACATAAGACAAAAACAAAATAATAAGCAAGGCAAAAAGAAACCCGTATATTAAGTATCACATGCAAAAAACGCCTTAATTCCCAATAAGCGGATTGAAGGAAAAAAAGAAGAAAAAACCATAAAAGGTTCGTGCAGGGTTAAGAATATAAACTCCTAGATGACCAAAAAGGGTAGCTCGGCATTTTAGAGAAAACGAACACTTGACCTGGGCTGGCAACGAGGATGAGAGAACGGGCGACCAAAGCAATCAAGAGATCGGTTTATGGAGATGCCCAGCCTCCAGCAACTTCGACCCATTCTGCTAGACAACTTCCTGGTTTGCCTTCCACGTCTACAATATCCGTGTCGCATCGACACCGGCAACCCACTCCATTTTCTTTCGGTGTGTCTGGTACGTCCCAGTACTCGTCTTCTTCTTGTCGTTTTTTCTCATCCAAAGTGGTCATTTCGAGATAAGGAATCCTGTCCTGCTGACGGGCAGGGGCGTTGGCCGGGCAATGCTGGATGGTTGTGTGTCGATATCCAAAATCTCGGAAGTAATGAATGTCTTTGGGTGCGAGTAAGACACCAGCCGCAAGTGAATGGATCGGTGCATCACCCCACTGGATACAGATGTCAGGATACTTTTGTGATCAAATGTAATTACAAAAACAGAAAACAAGGGTGTGGCTTCTTACTCGTTCCATCCAAAATCCACCACTTCTGTCCATCATGTTGAAGAAGTCCTCGTACTCCTTGCTACGGAACCAATCAAGTCGAGCGATTTCAAAATTACTCCAGAAATGGCACATGTTATACTTTTCTCCTTCCATAGCTTCAGGGTCGATGTCTTCAATGGCTCCGTTGCCTGGTTGCGTCTGCAGGATTTCATCTGGCAATGGCTCATACTCTGGAGTTTCCTTGGCTGGTTCCTTCGGCTCCGGGGGATCTTCCAGGAACATTTCCCACAAACCCTGGGATGTAATATTTTTTGTTCTCTTGTAGGCGGAAGCATAACGGAAGAGGTTCGGGACCGTTTCCCTGAGCTCTTTAACAGCAATAGTAAACCCGTATGTTTTATTATGCTCGATCATTTTGAGGAATGGATCACTAATATAAAAGTCAGTAAACCCTAGTTAAGCTTAGGGATGGCAAAGGAATGGCTGGGGATATAAATACTAGGTGATGTCACAGAAATATTTGATATCTGGCTCCAGGCGCCAGTACCATTCATATTTCATGAGGAGCTCGTGCTTGTAGAAGAATCTAGCCACAACATTAGTGCAATCAGCATGTATTTACGCGACACAGGCGAGATAACTTGATGCTCACCCAGAATAAAACCGACACATGTGGTGGTAACTCTCCATGCCACCATACATAATGGCAGCATCTCCTTGCTTTCTAATTCCTTCCTTGGCTACTTCATGGTCGATCCAGTCAGGGTATCCCCACATGGAAGAGTCAATTTTACCAAATTCCACAGAAGAACTTGTATAGTTGGCAATCGTATCTTTGAAATTCTGGTCGAAGTCCCCGTCATTTAGGAACACATAAGGATAGTTGTAGAATCTGTTGAAATGTCGTTCAATAGATTTCATGGATTGAATCACGCCATCTAATTCCTTATTTCTTGCCAAGACTACAAATGCGGCATTTGCTCTTGGAGTACTGGTGTCCATTTCAAGACAACCAGTAGCAAAAACTTTATCATGTTTTTCGCTGATTTTTCTGTTTGAAATCACGAGTTATTAGCATCACAAACCACGTCAAGAGTTGGCTTCAGCGCAAATGCTGTGAGTAGCAAAGACGCACCTGATTGACGGAGGGGTTCCAGCCGGCAACAAAATTCGACCTGAAGAAGAAGGATGAGTGATGATGAGAAGGAATACAAGAACTATTACAATACAAGGAAATAATAGAACGAAGCCCAGTGGTATTGAAATGGCAGAGTTCCTTCGGAGTCGTATCCGCCGCTTGAAGAAGGCGAATCTGGGTATTATGACGCCCTTTTCGTTCGAGACATTGTCAAAAGCAGGGGCCGCGGTTAAATATGGGGCTCGCTTTGCGAGGCGTTGTACGAACCCCATGGGCGCAGACACGTGGGTTTGAAGAAATTCGGCACGGATAGAATTTTGTTTCCCTTTTATGGAGGTCCGGATGGCGTTTGACCTCCTGGACCGGGGAGGAGAGGCGAGGCCGAGGAGGGGAAGGGGGGTCAGGAAGCCAGCTTTAAGAGGCAACAAGATCAACAGTAGTAGCTGTAATCACGACGAAAGGAACTCGATTATTGAGAGAATTCAGAGAGTCCGGTAGCGGGACGTAACTAGCGGAGTGGTGGAGGGCTAATGGACGTGGGAAAGAGAGGCTCTTATTCCGATAGAAACAAGTCGCCGGAAAAGAGAAGTCCCCTATCTGCAGATTTGCGGATGCACAGCGGAATCAATCAAGCGGATAGGGGAATATTGGCTCAATGGTCAGCCTCTTGACGGTATTCAAGCTTATGGCGAGCCAGGCGGTGGTCATGAGGTCTGAGAGGTGAGAGGGTGGAGGAGCGAGGCCTGGGATTGCAGGTGGCAGAAAGTTGGGGAGAGTGTTTGCAGTTTGTTCTGCAAAAGACGTAGGATTTTTTGGAGATTGGGATTCGAGCAGGCGACGTTTGACGGGAGGGATGCCAAGACCCGCTCTAAACCAGAAACGAAGCAGGGGAAGGATTCGAATTCGACGTTTCTACTCTGTGCTCGGCCACCAAGCCAACAGGGTCCAGCGATTATATGACTGCCCAAACTAGGGTGAGTTATCAAGAAGGCAGATTCAGATGTGACGGCGCAAATTGCCGGTGCAAATAAACCTTGGATCGAGGCAAATGCCTGTTTGCTGTTTGAGGATATCTCCATGATACGCCACTGTACGTAATTCCAAATTCAATACCGTGGGTAATTTAAATGGCTGGACGCGTAATACGGACGGGTCTGGATCAGCTAGCATCATCCGGCGTTTTGATTGGCTCATAATCAAATCTGGTTTCCAGCGCTCCGGCAGCTGAAGCCCAACCAATGAATTGCCTCAGTATTCTCTGTAATCATTCACTGATTCCTTCTCGGCGTACTGACGCATACCGTACGGCATCTGTGGAGGTCTTTGGTCTTGAAGCATATCCCAGCCTCTGATGCTTGGATGTATATCATCGGCTTGAGTATGTTTACTCGTATATCTTATTGATATTTCCATTCTGTATGTTGTTGTTTATATTGCTTATAGTCAGGCTAGCTATTTGTTACCGTGCGCCGACCCAGCAAGGCGCAGATCGACCAGCAGCTACAAGCTGAAATTCCCACAATGTCAGCAATTGTGATATATATATCCGCATCTACGGAGTACACATCTGAACCTAAAATACAGATCTGTACGGAGTACATCTGATGGGGTAGGGATAGCCCTTCAGAAACACCTAGATATTCTTTGCTGGGCCTTTTGATCAAGCCTTTCTAGAAGCATGCTCGGGATCCCGCGATTTCTTCCAGGTCGTTATCCAGGTCGAGCTGCCTGTCAGGCTGCGCCCAGGATACACAGTAGTTCTCCCGTTCTCTTTGTTGCGCCATGCCCAGATAGGCCTGACGCAGAGCGGGAAAAAGAAAAGAAGCAAAAGAGAAAAGTGTAAAAAATAGGGGGAGGCATGCCAAGCCCTGTGCTGCCACCCACTCTTCCGTCATTTTTCCTGATGACCTGGACTTGCTCACCTGCGACAAGCATCCACAACAGCAAAACGGGGGTGGGCATGGCCACGCCTGATCTTCGCCAAACATCGAAGAATGACTTTGACACTCCCTTCGTCTTGTTGCCCCTTAAGAATGCCGGACTTGCACATCTCCTGGTTGATCTATGGTCACAATTAACAATAACTTGTCCTAGTGCTGGCGAATCCTATACGCGACCTCCGCTACTGTGCACATCGCTCATCAAAAAGAATACCATCAACTTCGTATAGACCTCTTACTAACTAATTATTCCGCTCTCCTTATTCTTCCTCCACTTTTCGTGATGACGTTACGGCTCGATAGGCAGATTGGGAATCCAACCCATTCCGTGAAAGCTGGATCACCGACCAAAACCAACGTTTTCTTCTCGTAACGGACATCTGTGGG